AGACCAAAGATCCTGTCTCTACTAATCCTCAGACTGAATGCTCTCTCTACAAAACCTCAGACTGCAGCCATCTCTATGAAGACTGCAGACTGCTCAGACTGACTGCCTAGACTATGCTGAGCTCCGTCTCCTCCAGCCTCACATTCCTCTCTCCACCCGGCCACAGCGCTCCTGTCTCCACCTCCCTAGTGCTGGGACTAAAGTCATGTGACCCCAAGTGCTGGGATCACCTTTGTGCGAGCTGTTTCTCCTTTAGACTGGATCAATTTTGTGTAGGCCAGCATGGCCTTGAACTAACAGAGTTCCCTCTGCCTCTGTCTCCCAAATCCTAAAATTAAAGGTGTGTGCCACCATTGTCTGCACTCTGGTCTTCAGGCAAGCTTTATTTATTAAAATAAATATACAAAAAATATCACTACAAACCCTGTCTCGAAAACAAAGAAAATGGATGTGTACTATGTTATTTAGACTGCTTGAAATTCATGATTCCCTACCTCAGCCTCCTGAATGCTAGGGTTCCAGTAACACACCTGGTTAATATTCAAAAATGCACATGCCTTTAATTCCAGCACTCAGGAGGCAGAGGCAGGCAGATCTCTGTGAGTTCGAGGCCAGCCTGGTCTACACAGCGAATTCCAGGACAAGCTCCAAAGCTACAGAGAAACCCTGTCTTGAAAAATCAAATAAAAATAAAAATGTAGGACTGGAGAGATGGATCAGAGGTTAAGAGCACTGGCTGCTCTTCCAGAGGTCCTGAGTTCAATTCCCAGCAACCACATGGTGGCTCACAACCATCTGTAATAAGATCTGGTGCCCTCTTCTGGGATGCAGGTACACATGCAGGCACAACACTGTATACATAATAAATAAACTTTAAAAAAAAAAGAAAGTAAAGCAAGAAATTCTAAGCAAGGTTGGAGAGATAGCCATGTGGTTATGAGCACATACTGCTTTTCCAGACGACCCAAAAAATTGGCTCAGTGGTTAAGAGCACTGGCTGCTCCTCCAGAGGAGCCAGGTTTGATTCCAGCACCCACACGGTGGTTCATAACTGTCTATAACTCTAGTTTCAGGAATCTGATGCCCTCTTCTGGCCTCCATGAATATCAGACACATACGTGATACATATACATATATGTAAATGAAACACATAAAAGTAGATAAGTGAAAATAAATTTAAATACAAATATTTGAGGCAGAGTCTCACTATGTAGCTCTGGCTGTCCTGAAACTCACTCTGTAGACCAGGCTGCCCTCAAACTCACAGAGATCCACCTGCTTCTGGAGTGCTGGGATTAAAGGCATGGGCTACCTCCTCTTACCAACCTAAACATTTGGGGAAAAAAAAAAAAAAAGGAGAGGCTGAAGAGAGGGTTCAGAGGTTAAGAGCACTGACTGACTTCCCAGAGATCCTGAGTTCAATTCCCAAAAACCACGTGGCAGCTCAGAACCATCTGTGTTAGGATCTGATGCCCTCTTCTGGCCTGCAGGTGGACATGCAAAGCACTCATACATAAAAAATACAAATAAGAAAAAAGGAAATTAAAAATGGGGGAGAGTTAAAAAGGAGGTTGAGCTGGGCATGGTAGCTCACACCTTTAATCCTAGCACTCAAGAGGCAGGCAGATCTCTGCAAGTTCAAGACCAGCCTGGAACTCGCTCTGTAGACCATGCTGGCCTTGAACTCAGAAATCCACCTGTCTCTGCCTCCTAAGTACTGGGATATTCAGTGAGCCACCATCACCTGGCAAAAAAAAAAAAAAGAAATTTCTTAATTTAAAAAAAAAATTAAGAGGAGGTTGAAATAAAACAAAGGTACTTCTACCCATAGATACTCTATTCTCTAAAAAACAGCAGTGTAAATCAGGAAACACTGGTCTAGCTGGACCAGTCCAACAATCCACTCAAGGAAGTGTTGAATCATTTGTTTGGAAACTGGCCCAAACATGCTTGTTCATAAATTTTCTGTCCATTGTAATGTCCAGGTCAAGAGGTAAAACTGTTGTCTTCAGTGAATACAAGATATCACTAGAATCTAGACACTTCTCAGAGATTCAGTTCCTGAGATATCTCCCCAGCGACCTTCCTCCTACCAGTCAGTCCTCAAGTCGTGTGTGTGTGTGTGTGTGTGTGTATGTGTGTGTATGTGTGTGTGCCTGTACATGTGTGTGTGAGAGAGTGTGTGTGTGCACGTACGTGTGTGTGTGAGAGAGAGAGAGGGAGAGTTTGTGTATGTGTGTGTGTGTGTGTGTGTGAGAGAGAGAGAGAGAGAGAGAGAGAGAGAGAGAGAGAGAGAGTGTGTGTGTGTGTGTGTGTGTGCATTTGAGTGCAGGTACCTGCAGAAGCCAGAGGAGGATTTATCAGATTCACAGGAGTGGATTTATAGGCCATTGTGAGTCACCTGATTTGTGCTGGAACTGAACTCTGTCCCCTGGAAGAGCAGCAAGCACTCTTAATCCCTGTCATCTCTCTAGCCCCTTATTCTTTTGTTTTTGTTTTGTTTGTTTTTGAGATATAAACTCTATGTAGGGCTTTGTCTGTCCTGGAACTCACTCTGTAGACCAAACTGGGGCCTTAACTCACAGAGGACTGCCTGCTTCTGCCTCCAGAGTGCTGGGACATTACCTGGCTTTTCATTTTATTTTACTTTCTTTTTTTTTGTTTTGTTTTGTTTGGTTTTGTTGTTGGTGTTGTCTTTGTTTAGGTTACCCACCCCAGACAGGGTTTATCTGTGTAACAGCCCTGGCTGTCCTGGAACTCGCTTTGTAGACCAGGTTGGTCTGGATGGCTTGGAACAGGTAAACAAGGAGCAGGGGCTCAAATTTTCAGCAGTCCTCTTAGGTCTGATTCCTGATGGCTTCATTGCACTCAGCTTGGAATTTGCTCTTAAAAAATAAATAAACAAACCTGGGGCTGGGGACACAGTGCAGTTTAGAGCTTTGCCTAATGTGCCTGGAATCCCGGGGACACCAGATGGCCAGCACTTCGCCCAGCCAGGCCTGCAAATCAGGAGGTGGTGGAGCCAGGAGGCTGGGAGTTTAAGGTCACTATCAGCTGCATAGCTCGTGCCTGGCCAACATGAGCTACCTAAGACCCTGTATATTAAGTAAATTCATAAATAAATCTGGCCAGGTAAGGTGGCCGAAGTCTATACTGTTAGCACTTGGGAGGTAGAGGTAGGAGGTCAAGGAATTTGTTAGTGGTCCTATATGGGTTACAAGAGTTTTTTTCTCAAAAAACCAAACAAACAAAAATCTGTGGCCATTTTGACTTTTATCAGAGTGTACCTAGAAAAAAAAATCTAAAGAACAAAAGAATCTTTTGCACTGTGAGTCACCCTGAAATTCCCCAAAACTGCATCTCAGAGAGATAGTGCTGCGATTCCTGCCTGAGGTTCTCTCCGAGTCCTATTGCATGCAGATAAGTTTATTTCTTCATCATCACTCTGTATATTACCATATAGAGTTGGATTTTACTTTTTTAAAACAAGATTTACTTTATGGAACCAGAAAGATGGCTCAGCAACCCAGAGCACTTCCTGTCCTTGCAAAAGACATGGGTTCCTAGCACATACAGACAGTTTACAACCATCTGGAACTCCAGCTCCAAGAGATAGGATGCCCTCTTCCATCCTCCTGCAGCTGCGGCCCCTGTACTCACTGTGATCCACATCCCTGCACGCAGGCAAACTGTTCTACACACAAAATGAAAATAGAGAAATAATTTTAAAAATGTACTTTTCATCATTTTTTTAATGATATGCATGTGTGTGCATCTATGTAAGTGGGTGTGTTTATATATGACGCATGAGAAGGCCAGAGTCAGAGACATCAGGTGCTGGCGCTAGGCAATCGGTTGTCAGAAGCCTGACCTCAGTGCTCAGAACAAACAGCGGGTCCTCTGGAAAAGCAATCTATTCAAGAACCCACCCACCCCCACCCCCCGTTTTTAAGAGGGCGTCTTACTGTAGCTGAGGTTGGTCTGGGAATCATTATGCAACCCCAGCTGACCTCCAATTTGCAGCAACTTCCTGCCTCAGCCTCCGAAGTACTGGTTGTCTGCTTCAAATCAAACACTGATCTATCTCCTAAGATTAAGGCTACTGGGAACCTTTCACAATCCTTCCAGGCCCTGCCCTGCGAAGGATTCATCTCGGAGATGGAGTTTAGATTCACTGCAACGCAGTAGCGAGACGCTCGGTGCTGGGTCACAAACTGAGTCAGTGATATTTTGAAAATCCTTTTTGGCTGATGGCCTCACAGAGTCTGGTTTCGTGTAATTATCCCAGGTCTCATTTAAACCCTGCTATTTAACTCTTCCAGCGGGGACCCAGCAGGACTAGCTAGTCGCACTAGAGAGGGAAGCAGCGCCATCGCGAGGTAGCTGCTGCTGGCGGCAGATGCTGGGCGGGGAAGAGGGAGGGGAGCGGACCGCTCTCCCCTGAAGTTCACACAGTCCGACTCGCGTGAGTTGATTAAAGTGTATTTTGCTCGGACTCTTCCAGTCCACCCTAGAAGGGGACTGAGTCTATCACACCCAAGTGTATGGGCGAACCACTCAGGTTAGTTCGCGATAAGAAGGCGGCTCATTAAGTGACTTTTAAACGTTGCACACACCAAAGCATCACGTTAAAGTTACATTTCTTCGATTGAGATTGCTTAACGTGAGGGGGTCGGCGTGAAAGACGCATACAGAAGTTTAAGGTTTTGTAAATAACGTAGAAAGCCTGGCCGATAATAAAAAAAAAAGACTACGAGTTCCAGAATGCATTCATTACTCAACTCAAGGCGAGGTCGCGGTTGCGGGACCATTGCCTGCTGGGAATTGTAGTCGGCCGGCTTGTTTGTGATGCAGGTGCAACTTGTGGGGGGAGGGGGAGCGGGAGTAAACTCTCGCCACGTGACATTGGAGATCAGGCGGTGGCTCTGCCTACGCACAGGAGCTGTGATTGGCTGACTGTAATACCGTAATACCAACGACGCCACTAGAGGCGGGCCAAAGGCCCGCGCAGGCGCAGAGCGTTGCGAGTCTCGGGACCCCAGTGGGAGAGACTATGGCGCTCAACAAGAATCACTCAGAGGGTGGCGGAGTGATCGTCAACAACACTGAGAGGTGAAAACCCGGCGGAAGGATCCTGGAGACTCGAAGGGCGGGTGTCGGCCACCGTGTGCGGTGGGCGGTGGGATGTGGTGGGAAGGGAAGGAAATTGATGGGGCGCGGGGGGACGGGGTGGCAACGGCCGGAGGCGGGGCTGGAGGACCGGAGTGTTGCTGATCAGCTGGGGTGCTGATCAGCTGGGGTGCGGGGTGGGGGTGGGGCAGCAGGATGGTGTCAGGGTTTGGGGCCATGAGTGAGGCCGACGGGTGGTTTCTTGAGCCCCTTCCCAAGTGGAGTCGTAAAAACCATTGCGCTTTATTGGACATTTACTAAGTTGCTACTGCGCGGCAGCCACTGCGTCTGTTCTGCCTTAGATAGTACTTAATCTTGTGCCGCAGACACTATGATGCACATTTTCCGGGTAGGGCAAGTGAGGCCCAGAGAGGGTGAATAACTTGTCTTAGCGCTGTGAGGAATTGAAGGCAAGTATCTTGACCCCACAATCAATAGGCTTAGCTACTCCTCTCCGGTCTTCGTGTATTCCAGAACTTCTCAGACTCCAAGAGAAAGGCTGAGGCCCTAGAGGTGGAACTAAGTGGCTGTCAGCTGCTCAACCCAGTGCCTGGCACCAGCGGGCATTGTGAAGGCTTGTCTCTTGCCTGGATCTCTTGAATTTCTTATGGCCTAAGTCGGTTCGCAGAGCAGAGGTCTCTTCAGGATTTTTTTCTCTACCCTCCCCCACACAATCCACTCTTTCTCTCCAACTTTTGGGCGCAATCAACAGCTTCTCTTTTCCCCATCTTCTTTGGACATTGGAAATCAGACTCTCCGGACTTGAGCTATATACAGGCTTGAATTTTCTCTTGAAGGCCAGGGGAGGCGTGGTGGAGGGCAAAGCCGACATCCAGCTTGGGACCTGTCACTTGGGAGTGTTTGATGAGTCAGAGGAGACGGTGCAGGGTGACGCAGACTGGATATGCTGATTTTGTCCCCCTAGTTCTTGGCAGGTTCTGGCCAGCTTGGCATGTATCTGGAAATCACTTCTCTATCCAGAGCTGGCCTCTTTCATTGTGTTGGTTCTTTGTCCTGTGTTGCCACTGCACCAAGAAAGGATGTTTGGGATGAGGAGGAGACAGATGAGTGAAACCATGTGAACTTGGAGCTTTTTATCATGCAATCTGAGGACCCTGGTTCTCCGGTGAACTTCATCCAGTGCCTCGGTTGGGCCATGTCGCCATGAGATGACCGCCTCCTGTACTACCACTTTCTCTGGTCTTTGAGCCATTGTTTCATTTCAGGTTGGCTTTGAACTTGAGGCAGCCCTACTTCAGGCATGCACCACTACCACCAGAGCTATTTGGTTTCATAATCTGAGAGTGGTTTTCCTTCTCTTAAATTGGGTCTTTTCTAGAAGGTATCTACCCGCATCTCCCTACATTACCCCCCCCCCCGGGGGGGGGGCCTCAGCACCTGACTCAGCTCACTGCTACCAAATAGGATTCTGGGAAGAACTTCAACCTCACTTCTGAAACAGATGTGTCAGTAATAATTGAAATTTAAGTGCAGTTCTCAAACTTTGATATTTAAACTAGTGAACATTAATTTACAAATCACTGTTAGAGATAAACACTGTCAGCTCCTCCCCAAGAATTAAATACTTGTGTGTGTACACACACACACCTATTTCAAGGGCTTTATGTACAGACATTTTCTGCAGCTCCAGCTGAAGCTTGGATTGAGGGGCTGGGGAGAAGGTTTGGCAGTTAAGAATACATTCTCACCAGGTGGCTACGGCCCTTGCCTTTAATCCCAGCACTCCCAGAAGCAAAAGCCTGCAGACCTCTGTGAGTTCAAGGTCATCCTGGTCTAGTAGTGAGCCAAGACTGTCACACAGAGAAACCCTGTCTCAAAAAAACACACACACATGCAAAAGAATATGCTTTCTGGGAGGACCTGTTTAGTTCTCAGCATCCATGTCAGGCAGCTCACAACCATCTGTAACTCCAGCTTCAGAGGAGCCAGTGCAAGGGTAGAGTCATTTTTTGACTTTATTTGTTTATTGTGGGGGGAGGGCACTGGGGAAGAACCCAGAGCCACGACCATGCTAGGCAAATACTAGTGAGCTACATCTCCAAATCCCATTAGACTCACCTTTATATATTAGGGATTTGTTTGTTTTGTTGTTGTTGCTGTGGTATTTTTGAGACAGGGTTTCTCTGTGTAGCCCTGGCTGTCCTGGAACTCACTCTATAGACCAGGCTGGCCTTGAGCTCACAGAGATCCGCCTGCCTCTGCCTCCTGAGTGCTGGGATTAAAGGCATGCACCACCACTCAGTTATATTAGTTTTTTTTTTTTTTTTTTTAAAGCCACAACAGTCAAAGAGCTGCGGCTGTGACTCAGGTGGCAGTGCTTCCCAAGCCTGCACAAAACCCTGGGTTCCGTCCCTCACACCTCACGAAACCAGCGTGCTGGTAGAAGCCTGTAATCCTGGCACTTGAGAGGTGGAAGCAGGAGGAATTTAGTAAGCTTGAGGCCAGCCTGAGCTTTATGAAATGCGGCTCCCAAACCACCACCCCACAACTTGAACCAAAGAGAAGGCCAGGTGTTCTAATCCAGCCGGAGATGAAGACGGTTCTCTCCTCTGGGGGCTCCTTGGAGGCTGTAGGCCCAACCTGCTCCTCTCTGCTGCTGCACTGAGAGTTTTTGAAGCCCTGCTGCTTGTGAGGGACGAAGCCCGAGTCCAGACTATCACCAGGGCTTTGTCTTCTCGTCACAGCATCCTAATGACCTATGACCATGTGGAGCTCACATTCAATGACATGAAGAACGTGCCAGAGGCCTTCAAAGGGACCAAGAAAGGCACCATCTACCTAACCCCGTACCGGGTGAGTGGTGCAGCAGGTTAGAGCCTCTGCTTTCCGGTGTCACGTGTGTCTCTCCTTCAGCCTTGGGACACCAGTGGCCTCTGAACCCTGGGGAAAACTATTGCTTTGCTCTGTCTGTTTCTCTGTCACATGACCCTTTGCGTTCCTTTCCTGACCTGGGCCATGCAGATTCCACAAAAGTCTCTCTGAGGTCGGAGACAGCTGCAGCAATGGCTTGCCTGGAGAAGCCCTCAAGGCTCATGTGCACAGTCAGAGCGATGGCTGTGGTAAACAGGATACAGTAGCAGGGCCACAGCCTCCAGGCTGGGCACAAAGCCCAGCAGAACCCTACAGCGTGAAAGATGCCAGGCTGCAGAATTGGCCTCGCCTGAGAATGAGCCGTGTGGGCTCTGAGTAATACAAAAGAGTAGTTGAGAAAGGGGCGTCCGCTGGCTGTGGCTTCCCACCAGCGTGGTGTCACGACGGCTAGGAGCGCTCGGCTGCAGGGTGTGAACCACCCCTCTGGAGGCTCTCATCTGCCCTTAGGTTGAGTGTCTGGTGGTTTGGAAACCCAGGGGTTGACCCACGTGATGGAAGGGGAGGACGTCCTCTGACCTCTGTGTGCACACCCACACACACGCCTGTGTCATAGATGAATGTGATTAAGAGAGGAGAGACTGAGGGGGTTTCCAGATGTGGCCAGGAGAGTTCTTTGGCTGTTAGGCAAAGTGTGACCTGTAGGAAGCCACGGTGATCCCTTCTCCTGGACCCTGTTTGAGCTTGGGCTCTGCCTCCCAGCTTCAGGAGCCTGCCCTGCCGGGCACCTAGCATAGCAGACCCCTCCATGGATACACCACACCCCCTAGTCTCTGAGATGCTAACGGTGGTGTATCCTCACCCTCTGCAGCCTGCAGGTCCCTCCTGTGCACACCTGAGTCGGTGTCTCCAGGCTGAACCTGGGCCTTTTACTTTATAACACCCGGGAGGAGCATGTGGCTGGGCTCCGCTGCCTGCACTGGCATTACTAGGAACAGACCCAGCACACGGAAAACGGGTGGGAAGCAAGGGCTAAGCTGGCTAGGTTCTAGCGCTGACGGCTTGGTTGCCTCTCCCCAGGTTATCTTTCTGTCTAAGGGGAAGGATGCCATGCAGTCCTTTATGATGCCCTTCTATCTGATGAAGGACTGTGAGATCAAGCAGCCGGTGTTTGGTGCCAACTTCATTAAGGGGACAGTGAAGGCTGAAGCAGGAGGTAGGTGACAAGGGACCTCAGGGACGCGACTGGCTCTTTATGAGGTGTTCTGGACATCTCCGACTGCCTCCTGAAGAGCCCCTTTCAGACTCGTCCAAGCCTCCCACTTCCCAGCCGTGAATTAATTTCAGATACCTGGGCTAATGGCTGAGCGGCACACGTGGGGTTTGGTTGCCAGGAGCTGGGAAAATCAGCCTCACGAGCCCAGCAGAAAAATTAAAACTAAATGTGCTGTGCTCATCCCCCCCCCCCCCCCTTGGCCCAGGCTTTAGATTTGGGAGAAGCTATGTCCCATCCTGGGAGGAGCCTTCCATGAGAGCCAGGCTGGCAGGGCCCTGCTTTGTGGCCGACTCCCAGACTCCAGGGTAGTCTGTGTCAGCCTCAGCCCCCTACACCCTGCCAGGCTGCCTCTTCCCAGGAGAGTTCTACCCTGAACCTCCATGTCAGTTACCAGGAGAGCTGCCAGGGCTTTGCTGGTGGTCAGGAGAAGCCTTCCTCCCCTCCCCCTTGTCATTGGCTTGGCAGTCAGTCATGTAGCCTTCCTTGGTCCTGGCAGTGTACTTGGCTGTGGGTGGGGGAAAGCCCTGTTGAGATGAAACCCACAAGCAGGAGCCAGGCCGGCCTGTAGTACCAGGTGTTTTGTGGGCTACAGGCAGAAGCCCTGCCCCTTCCCGACAGCCTCCCTCCCTCCTCGGTGTTGGATGAGCGCCAGAAGAGGACAAAGAGCCTTCTCTCTGAACAGAACCTGTTTTCTCTCTCCTGTCTGTTCCTTCACTGTCCTTGTCCCTTCTCAGGTGGCTGGGAAGGCGCGGCTTCCTACAAGTTGGCCTTCACAGCAGGGGGCGCCATTGAGTTTGGGCAGCGGATGCTCCAGGTGGCGTCTCAAGGTATCCTAGCTCTTACAAACTGCGGGACACACCTGACATCTAACACGTGGGTTTCTTGTTTGTCTTTTTTTTTTTTTTT